TTCAGGTTGTTAAGTCCACTCTTGACCTTCTACGCGTACATCCAGAGGTAAAACAGATAGTAGTAGACTTCGAGAGTGGTTTGTGGCGAGCAATCCCGAGTGTATTCCCAGACATAGACATCAAAGGTTGTGCCCGCTTCCATTGGGGTCAGGCTGTGTGGAGAAAGGTCCAAAAGATTGGGTTACAGGTATGTCCTAAAATAGAAATTTACGCTATGAACAATTAAACATATTATTTTAAAATCTGTTGTGTATGTTTCATTCTCGATTATAGAAATAAGAAGATGTGGCATGGTTGCCAATGAGACAACTCTCTACCAGACACCAAATGACATAGAAGTTAACAACATATATATTATATTTTAATTTTTAAATTTTAGTAGCAGAAAATTAAGGCATTATTAGTGTACCTTTGTGAATATTCGCCCATTAAAAACAAAATACAAATATAAAATGTAAAAATTGTGATATCATAATTATTAATTCCTTTTTAATAGTAATTTTTTATTTTTCAGACTGCATATGTAACATAAAATAATGTCCCCGCAGAAATATTGTCCGTCGGACAAAATTTCATATAAAATATTGTCCGCGGACAGGCTATTTCATAATGAAATACTGTCCAGGACAATATTTCATTATGAAATAGTGTCCTTGTCCATGAAATTTTGTCACCTCCTTCTGGACAATATTTCACTATGGAATTTTGTCCATGACAATTTTTCACTATGAAATACTGTCCATGACAATATTTCACTGTGAAATACTGTCCATGAAAATATTTCTTAATCAAATTATTACAAAATAAGAAAAAGTACACAAGCATGCAGCCTGAACATTTTTAGATTTATAACTGAAACTATTTTGTAAAGTAAGTATTTTATATTTCAAACTAATATTTATTTTAACATAAGCTAGTTTCAAATTTGCATAGATACTTTATAAATGGTTAGTTATAGATTAAAGAATTGTCTAACGTATGTTCCATTGTACTACATTATACTGTATAAATAAAAGTAATGTACTGACTATCACTTATATATGTTCAAAATTGAATGTACTAATAGTATTCGTAAATACTAGATTGACAAATCTTTTTGGAACGGTGTTTTGGAGGTACAAGAGTACAATGTAACTGAAATATTAAATTGTGTTTATTTGTTATTATCAGTCAAATAAAATATCATTCTCCAACATGATATATGTTGATAACTGGCCTCCCCTTCATGAGACAAAATTCCATGACAATCTGTCTATGAAATATTGTCTCAATACACACAAAATATTACCTCCCTTTAACAGGACAAAATTTCATAGTATTCATCTGTTTCGAAATGACATTTTTTCATAGATGAGGACAATATTTCATGATACATAGTCATGAAATATTGTCTTGGGGACAATATTTCATAGGACAATATTTTGCTTTACACATACAGCCAGAGAGATGACGTCTACAAGTTTCTTCGTCAGGTGTTCGCAATACCATTCCTGCCTGCAGACCACATACCAGATGCTTTCCAGAAATTGCAGACTAGAGCCGTTGGTGACAACTCCAAGAGGTCATATCCTACGTCAACATCACCTGGTTGCAGAGCTCTGTATGGTCCGTTCAGTCCTGGCGTGTGTTTGGCAGAAGAATCCGTACCAACAATGATGTAGAAAGATGGCACCACCGACTTAACCGAAAGGCAAAGAAAGGCAACCTCCAATTCTACGTCCTCTTCCATCTTATGTACCATCTTCGCTAGCCAAGGGTTACTAGCGAAGATGCTTATGTACAAGGAAGCAAAGAAAAGCTCAATAGGTACTAAAGAAAACAGACAACACAGACACAAGGGATGCTATTTACGGCATGGAGTCAGTATGCCACCAAAGACATGACAGTCAGTCACCTCTTGAAGAAGTGTGCCCGTATTTATGGACCCGTCCGTTTAAGTTCTGAGATGAACTTGTGCTTAAAAAGAACTTTAGTGCTTGGTTTTATGAACTATTCATGTCTAGCTTATGAGATAAAATCGTACTGTTTAACTTTAGTGCTTTTGAAATAAGAACTTTATGAGAGAACGTTTCCTTATCATATTATATTATAAGTAATACTTAGTGCTCAAATCATATGTATCTTATGTGAATGATATGCTTGTTTTGATTTAGTGTACCTCTTGAGTTTTACTTAGTGCTTAAATTATATGTTTTTATGTAAATTACATACTCGCTACCTGACTTGAAATTATTTCCTTGATGAAATAAAGACTAATATGTATGTATATATTAAAGTTATAGTCTTATTTTGAAATTGGAGTATGCCTGGACTAATACTACAGGGCCTACTTCGGTTCGTCCAACTCGGGTTAGTAGAGTCTGTCGAGTTTACTCGACTGACAATCGAACCCCCCGAGTTTGACCTTTTGAACCTACCCGATTTAACTCGACATCAACCCTGGGTTGGGGCAGGTTTAGTAGAGATTCAAAATGGCGTCAAGCAGCTCCAGCAAAGAAAAGTATGATACAAATAACTAAAATTTTACAAAATACAGCCAGAGAAAGTGGCTGTTAGTGAAATTATTTTTTGTTTGTTTTTTGGAATGAAATAAATATGTTTCGTGTGTAAATAATGTCGGTGATGTTTATAAATAGAGCAAAGAAAAAAAATATTTTCGTGAATTTGAGTTGCTAAGAGTAATATGTGAATTCATTCTCTTTACTTACAACACGAGTTTTAAAATGAATGTAATGACATGGGAAGAACTGGAAATGATTAAATGATAAAAGTTCTTTAATTTAATAATTTTACAAATTTGAACATAAAGTTGTTTATTATCGACGTCTATAAAAAGAAAATTAACTACTGCTGCTATATTTATATCCACCATTTTGAGAGTCAACTCGAGAAAGAGTTTTCACTTCGATTCGGGAAGCCGGGTGCGCACATGCGCATTAACACTGATTTTATAACTCTAGTCAACCAGAGTTGGACGAATCGAAGAAGGTAACTAAAGTACTTTACTTTACTTTAGTCTGTACTGTTCCGCTTATACCAGACGACCCACTTTTCAGTGTGAATTCTATTAAACAGTCCAATAATCTAATACACTATAATAGTTACGTTTTTACACATTACCACCACCTCTGCCGGTTTACACACGAAAATATGTACAGTACTTAAAATACTCGAGGATACAACATATATCAAACAAAACAAAAAAAGAGAACCTGCCAAAACATAAACATTATTTACTCATACATCTTTCAAACAACAGAAATAATAGGGAGCACCACCTCTGCCGGTTTACACACGAAAATATGTACAGTACTTAAAATACTCGAGGATACAACATATATCAAACAAAACAAAAAAAGAGAACCTGCCAAAACATAACAAACATTATTTACTCATACAGCTTTCAAACAACAGAAATAAAAAATCTAGGGAGCATCACTCAATTGTCTATATAGACGTCTCTTCATAGACGGTCCTAGTTGTCTTTTTCGTCATCTACTATACTCAAAATTGGCGTCAAAACTTTATTAGAGACTTCTCATCAGACACAGTCTTTTTCATTAAATCATTTGTTTCGTCAAAACTGTAATTTTATACTTAATTGTTAATATAGACCGTCCGAGTTGTCTTTATAGACGGTCCGAGTTGACTTATTTTGTTGTCTGAGGGCCGACTTGTCTCGCACCCCTTACAAGTTACATACCACAGGGTTTCACTTCACATGGAAATTGGACTTTAAATGTATCAAAACAACATCTACCATGAGTACAGACAGTTTCAATAACAAGTATAAGAATAATTGAAGACATCCAGGAAACAAAATAAGAAGATATGAAACATTAAATAAATGCATCCAGATTATGAAGCAAACTGAGAGCTTACATTTATATTGCGATTGGTTTGTGCAATTTGCATTAGACATCCGGTTTGCAGAAATCGGATTTGCAATAGGATTATGAAAAATGATGTACACTCCAAAGTAATAAATAAAATAGTCAAGACTTAAAATGTAAATCCAAATAGTAGCTGTCATATATACACTTTCTATTCACAACTAAAATCCAGCATTGCTTTCAATTGACTTGTGAAAGAATCTTCACACAATTACACATTTTCAGTAAAGGTGTTTTAACATCATCATAACGATACCTTATTCTATTCACAGTAAATTATTTCAAATCAAAAGCAAAAAAAATCAGAAACAATTTTTTGGTGACCAGTCAGCGGTCTCGGGTTCACGTATTGCTTTTCTTTTTTTAAAAGAACAATATGGCTGTATTTATACCTCAAAAACTACTCTGTGTACAGACTTACCTGTGCAGTTTGAAAAGATTAAGGCCTGGCATCCACTAGATATATAACAGTTAAATGCATTTTGTCTTTCAGAAAGATAAAATCTTTTTTTGGATTTTGATGGGCATTTTTTTCGTTCCTGCTGTTGGTGTAAACTGAAATAAACAAAGCGTGACCTAAATTACATTTGATACTGTCCACTCAGTTACACCCTTTAACTCACCTATTGTTGTGTAGATATTTATTGTATTGTCCATGCCAATCAAGGACAATTAATACAATGCAATACTGTTGTTACCTGAGAGGGAGCATCTCAAAGATTTACTTTTTTTGAGAAAAAAAAAAAAAGATTTACCCAACTTAGTTTATTTTTACACCTTCTGCAGGAACAGAAAAAATGCCTATCGAAATCCAAAAAAGATTTTATCTTATTGAAACACAAAATGCATTTAACTTTTAGAATCTAGTGGATGCCAGGCCTTAAAACTTTCCAAACTGCACAGGTAAGTCTGTACACAGAGTAGTTTTTGAGGTGTAAATTACAGCCATATTTGTCCATTTGTTATGATGAACCTTAAGTTTAACGCTCCTTCGCGGCAGACGAGGACTTGACCGTAACGATGTATACCACTGTACATATATATAAATACCAATGCAAGTCCAGTCATGCTCTTTTAAAAGCTAACCCTTCTGGTACACCTATGCACACCAATGGAATCATCCTAACCGGAAGTGTCAGACTGTGCACCGGTGAAAGCTCTAACTGGTAAAACTTTCCCATTTTTGGTCATCAGCAATATTTAGTTTTAACTCTATTGTAATTTACGTTAGTTAACTAAAAAGCAAATAGGTTTTAAAATCACAACAGATTCATAATCAGTGATAACTGGCTTGGAGGCAACGACGCGTGCAGAAACTGGAGGATCTGGGTGAGGTCAATTGAGTTCTATATTAACTTCTAAGAGAGGAAGATGAATTTCTTTAAATCTGCTACTCGAACTGTTCGGACAATCACAGATGATGGAAGTGGCCCAAGAACTGAAACCAAAACTTATACCTACGGTGACGATGGCCCAAGCATAGGTTATGGCGGTGGCAACATAGATATTGGATTTGGACAAAAGTTTGGAGGTGGGAAGAAGTCTTTCAACATTAGTAATTTTATTGGAGGAGGTGGAAGAAGTGATGGTGGTTCTGATGGAGGAAGGAGGACATGTATCAGACAGCCATCCCAGCGCCCACAGGTTGGTGGCCGTGCATCACGAAAAGAGAAGAAAAACCCCTTTTCTGGCTTACACAACCAAAGCTATGACAACATTAAAAAAAAGTGCTTAGAGGAAGGAATATTATTTGAAGATCCAGAATTTCCAGCACAAGATGATTCAATATTTTTTAGCAGAGCACCTAACAGGCCATTTGTATGGAAAAGACCAGTGGTAAGTACACTTCATTGGAACAGTTTTATCTATATATTATATTACAATAGATAGCTTTCAATTGACTCAGTTTGAGCAAGAGTAACATCCCTTTCTTTGCCAAGTTGGAGGTGGTATCAGGTCGTCCCATTTCCAAACCAATCTGGCCCAAGTAGTTCTGTCCCCAAGTCAATAAGGCCCTATAACAGTGGTAGTAAAATGATGAATAATTTCTAAAAAAATCATAGGATTTTCAGTGATTGGAAAAGTCCAGCACCATGGGCAAATTGTGCATTTTGACAAAAAATGGCCCACAAAGTCCCAAGTGTCTGCGCCAGCGTGGCACACAATATTTTCACCTTGTTTCTAAACGTTTAGATAGTGCCAATTTTATTTCAGATACAAATGTATCGTGTTTCTTGTCACCAATATTTTTCTGTGTCTTTTATTTGAAAAAATGAGTTCTTCTTGGTTGATATTGGTAGAAGAAAGATTGAATTAATTGTTATGATACCCAAACTCGAATATTTGTAAGTGTAAGTTGTAAATCATCTTAAGTACAAAGGTCAAATATTTGGGGTTTACTTTCATTTTCGTTGCTAAGGTGAATTCAATGGATGTGTATTGAGGTGTTACTGAGGAAAGCAGCTATTGATTTTTCTATATATATATATACAATGTATATGGATCAAATGTCATTTTGTTTGAAGTAGTGTCATTTATTCTATACATGTATGTCATTATTTTTACAAGGAATGTAAATGCAAATTAAATGTGATCTCATGTCTTAGGCCACTTTCTTTGGTTGGTCATGATGACATTAACAATAAAACATCATTATCCACAAGCTGCAAAAGTGTCTATAATGTTAAAAAAAACGGGAAGAAAATTTGGCAGTAGACGAACATGCCAATACAATTTGAAAGGGACTGGATCATGAACAATGCAACAGTGCTGGTTGAAGTTGTAAATAAATTGCCATGTTTGGGAGAAGTTACATGTTTTGCTGTGGTTGGTTTACAAATGTATGATGGAACCAAATGTTTTGCAAATCTTGTCAGAGAGCTGACAGAAAAAATACACTGGCATTAGGCTGCACAACATTTAAAAATACATTGTAAGTACAATCGTCAATGTCTAGGGATCTCCCGTACTTAGTGATCATATATACCAGTATCACGCCGGGTATCCCAATCTGAAACCACCGATTGGATCCAAATTTGCAGAAGCAATTAATGAAAAGTTTGTAACGGTGGGTAAGTAAAACCTGACCCAATTCCTAAGGGGGAATTATGCTCCTTGGAAATCTGATTTACCTACCCAGGCGACTAGGGCGAAGAAGTCGCTTTCCCGTCCGTCACTTCGCTTTGCCCGACCTGAAAAAGCGAAAACAAGTCGCCCCGTTGTTTACGATACTCGCTTTCAGTCGCTTTCATCATCAGCAATATTCAATTTTTACCAAGTTGATGAAACAGCAAATTTCATTTAAAAGTAAAGAAATTCAAGGCATAAACGATTTATTTTCTTCAAAAAAGAGGTTAAAGCATTGATTTTTAAGCTGGTGGCATGTTATTTCATAAAAACAATTTGTTATCACTTCAGGTACTTGTTACACGAGAACGTACATCAAATCATCCTAACTTTCGGCAAAATAAGTTATTGCTTCATTAGAACTTGATGAAATTTGCCTGAAGTAAACTTGTTATCAATGTATTGCATTAAAAACGTCATATTCCTATCCAAATAGCGTGTCAAACATCATTTATTTTTGTAAATTTTTCTTTGTCCGACATTTAAATTATTGGGCATATTATTGTACAACTACGGATCGGAATCGGGATTTCATCGGAAACGGACCTGCTATGACCGAAATCCAGATTCTTGCGATAATGACTACGGACGCATGAATGGCACTGCTGACAGACAAAAATTGATCCCAAAAAGAAAAATTACGCATTCCACACGCATTAACATACTTTTGGTTAGATCTTCTTGATTAATGTATATATTTCCATGTATATGCATTGTTTCAATTTATAAGTTAAAGTTGCTCAACTCTGGGACTATTACACTAATAAAATTATATTATGTCCAAGCTTAACTGTTAAATTTATATATATTTTTAATGAGAAATAATTAATTTCATGAACATGATAACAGAGTAGTTTTTTTAATTGAATTTTAATTTTTTTTATTGCCAGATATTTAATTGTTTTTTCTGACAAGAGAACTCATTTGATTGTGCAACGAAATATGATAAAATTAAACAACTTTAAATTTGAACAGTTACTTTAATCATGTAATTGTATACCCAGGTACAAATTGAACAATATAAAAAAGATAAGATACATATGGCCCTTAATGTATTATACATTTTTTGTAGTAAAATCCAAACATTGTAGCCCCGCGATCGAACAGGCACTTCTCTTTCAAATCTCACCACTTCTTCCTCTCAATTTCAAAAAGAGAAGTCACTTCTCCCTATGATTCTGAAGTAGTGTGAGCCCTGCTACCCCCATTACAAAATTTTCATTAAGTGCTCCTTGGGATTCATTCAGATCCCTCAGCGGATTTTCGATTAGGATACCCAGCGTGAGTATTGCATACAATACTGGAATAAAAGTTTGTTCCAGTATTGTTGAAAAAAATTAATAAAAGACCACAATACTGATTAAGTATAATACTATTTATAATAGTAAAAAGTAAAAAAACAAAAATACCGAATTCCAAGGAAAATTCACAAAGGAAACCTTTATCATGTTCTCAAATGGCAAAATAAAAAGCTCAAACACATCAAACAAATGGGAAACAACGGTCATATTCCTGACTTGGTACAGGCATTTCATTGTGTAGAAAATGTATTGTAAACAAAAATGTACCACCAATAATGTTAAAATTTTGTGTTTACATTTTATTTTCTTTAAACTCGTACCTGTACATGTATATCACTTTATATATACATGGTTTCCTTAGACTCATTATTTATAAATCTTTAGTTTCACGTAAGCTTCACAGGCACTTGTCTCTGAAATCTTTTTTAACATACATTGAACATAATTTTTTTACAGAGATTTTTTACTGTGGTTAGATATTAAGCTATTGTGAACAAATTCTATATACTACATTGTGTATAAAATATAAATCAAAGTACTGAAGTACTGAACATCGGATGACCACAAGTTCTTGAGGATGGTCAAAAGCACTTGTCTCAGAAGAAAACAACATATCTCTTTACCTAAAACTGAGGTTAATGTACAGAGATATATTTTTTTCTGAGACAAGTTCGTGCGTGGATGATTAATAAATGACAGGAAATTCAACTTCACCGTAATAACTATTATATTGTAGTGATACAAATCAGTATACACTGAGTTGTTGTTTATATTATATTAAAATAACAGTTACATATATATATGATTTGAATCCATTTGTATATCATTCTATTCTACTATTCTAAAAATAGTGCAATGCAAGTGCATGGTGGACACTTTTCTGTAAAAATTCGATTTTTCTAAGATTGGATACGAGTAGGCATTCATATTTTCCCGCAAAATCAATTACAGAGTTACCGGTCCTTGACGGTATTTTCACAAAACGTTCTTTGAGATATTCTTCCGCATGCTTTAACACAATTTTTCGGTACGTGTGCATTGATATTATCAATGATTTTTTACTTATATATATATATATCTAACTACAAAACATTTTCATATTATTAATTTATGTTGTAAACAAAAATATTTTTATCAGTATTCATTGAAGAGATGTATTTATATCAAACGATAAGGAATGTTATTTTGCACTCGTTTATGTGCGCGTATTTATCATGTTTATAGATCGGTTACAAACCCAAAACTAATTTACATAATGGAAATCTAGGCGATAGCAATACATCGGGATGACCTCAAGGTCATCGCGATGTAAAAATGAAACAAAATTAAAACAATATTACATCAAACAGATACAATTTGAGATTTATTTGACAAGCATCATTCATAACTCTCGATGATATTCCATCCAAACCCAGGGAATCATTTAATCATATACATATATGGAATCAGTATATCATGATCATGTTTATTATCAAATGTTTAACAGATGTTATGGGTATTTAACAGCCATTTCTTAAACATCTGTTATCATATTAAAGAAGAAATTTATCATCATAAGAAATGTATAAATGTACATTACAATAAGAAATGTAGCACAACAATTGATATACAAATGTTGCCTTTTATTTTTAAAGAATACACATTTCAAATAACATAAATGCAAGATGCCAATTGACATACATTTGTACATTTATTACAATTTTTGAATTACAAATATACATATCACAAATATTCAAAATTAGAAGTATCAAAAGTACATATCACAACTCCACCATGAAGCAAGTTTATAGAAAAATCAAAAATATAATTTTGAATAGACCACTTTCGAGTTCGTTGCATTTCCGTCAAAAACTTTGGTTTTAGTGAACATCATTCGTGCATTTACTGATTCAGAATAAAATACATAGGGGACAACTTCAGACAGTATTTGTATTATACTAGTATCAGAATAAAACACTCAGGAAACATACATGTATCTCTAGTCACCAGTAGCCACTCCAAAATGGCGGCCAAGGGAAATAACTCAAACTGAAATTCATCCTATAGCTATCAAAATTAAACCTATCTATAATTTTGGATAGAAAAAAAGTAAAGAAATAATAACATTTATACATGTACATATATATGTATATATATATATATACAAGTCTTACTAATTAATATTCAAAGAGGAAGCTATTTTATTTTACTGCATCCATTTAAAGATACATGTAATTCAAACAAATATATTGGTACAAATGTATGAATGCAAGACATGTTTATCTACAATGTATGCACCAACTTCACCATGTTTACGTGATACCAAAAGTAACAAATACAAGGAAAATGTACATGTACATATGTTAATACTTATGTTTGTTTTGATCTTTGACTTATAGCATTAATTGATAATTGGATTTTTATCTGCAAACACTAATTTACCAATGTACATGTATATTGTACATGATCAAAGTAAAAAAAAATAGATGTATTGCCATTGAAAACAAGGCGTATATGTAATTTATTTCTAAAAAGTGCACACAAGGTAATTGCATTTACATGAAGGAGAACTTTTTGATACAAAACCAGGACCTTTTTTATGCCACAGCCGTAACGGGAGGGGGCATTAAGTGTTACCCTTGTCCGTCCATATGAACGTCTGTCTGTACTACATCCCATAATTGGTTTCCGTTCTCTTACTTTAGTTTAACTCAATCAAATGTTATGAAACTTATACACAATGCTTATTACACAAAATACAGATAAAGTTCCAATTTGGGTGACTTCACTATTACCGTTGTCGAGTTATGCCCTTTATAATTTGAGTGGGGGCATCATCTGTGTTCCATGGACACATTCTCCATTTTTATGGCCCGCCATAGGCGACTGGGCCATTAAGTGTTACCCTTGACTGTTTGTCCCATTTTCGTTGCAAAGCTTGAGCGGGGGCATTCGTGTCCTCAGACACATTCTTCTTTTATTTCACATTCTAATAAGGGTCCAAATGCTTTTTATGCCCCCGCAGCGGCAGAGGGGGCATTACATGTAAGTGTTACCTATGTCTGTCTGTACATACATACTTTCCAAAATTAGTTTCTGTTCCCTTACTTTAGTTTGCCTCGACCAAATGTTATGAAACTTATACACAATGCCTATTACCATAAAACACAGATCAAGTTAGGATTTGGGTGGCCTCACTCTTACAGTTCTCTAGTTAAATCTATTCATAACGTTATTTATGCAAGCTGGGTCATCATCAGTGTCCCATGGACACATTCTCCTTTTATTTATAATGAAAGAAGCTAATACAAGTGCTAATGTAAATTAATCACTTCTACGAATAACATTTGAACAGCTATCATACATGTACAGTGTTCTCCCCACAAATTTCATATAGCATCCTGGTAAACAGGGAATTTTGAAATACCATCTTTTTTCTAGAAATTATTGCATCATATCCATAACACAATCTATAACATAATATAATTTCAGATCATTACATTACCATGATGGTTAAAGGCCCTGGGGAGAACACTGCATGTAGATATGTTGTTGAAATAATTAATGATAAAATATAAAGAAATTGGAAGATGTACATGTACAAAAAATGTATATGGTGTATTGATTCATGACACATAATCACTACTGTACACTCACTTCAAAACTATTGCAAATTTAGCTAAGGATCAGGACTTTTATACATGTAGCTATTCTGTTTTACTTATTTTCTCCTGGATGACTATTTCTGAAAATTAAAAGTCAATGCAATGTACAAAAAATGTATGAGCTTGACAATCACAAACTATATTGTTACATATATATGCATAGTACAAATGTATATAAGTTTTTGATTGATTTATTGATATCTGCTCAAGGTTTCTGGAGCAAATATACAAATGTAATTACATAGGTTATAAGGTCCGAGGACACAGTTATCGTCCTTTGATTTTTGTTGTCTACAAATATAGCCCCTAGTGTGGACAGTGTACAACATGGAAATTTTTTTCATACACTTTCCAAATTTATTTCTTTGTATTTTATGCATGAAATATTAAGTAGGGGGATGAAATTTCATGTTACAAAAATTTGGGTAATGAATTTTTGCAGAGCCTGCGACTTCTGTTGAAGAAAGCTCGACATAGGGATAGTGATCCGGCGGCATTAACTAAAACTACTTAAAAGCTTTATATTTTAGAAGGTGGAAGACCTGGATGCTTCATACTTTGTATATAGATGCCTTATGTTATGAAGTTTCGGTCTGTCATATGTCCCTGGTCCTTGACCTCATTTTCATGGTTCAGTGACTACTTGAAAATAAAGTTCAGGTTTTTTGTAATGTTAATTTCTCTCTTATTATGAGTAAAAGGATAACTATATTTAGTATATGCGTACCTTGCAAGGTCCTCATGCCTGTCAGACAGTTTTCATCTGACCTTGACCTCATTTCATGGATCAGTGAACAAGGTTAAGTTTTCTTGGTCAAGTCCATAGATTAGATACTATAAGCAATAGGTCTACTATATTTGGTGTATGGAATGATTGTAAGGTGTACATGTCAAACTGGCAAGTGTCATCTATCCTTGACCTCATTTTCATGGTTCAGTGGTTAAAGTTAAGTTTTTGTGTTTTGGTCTTTTTTTCTAATACTATATGTGCAATAGGTCAACTATATTTGGTGTATGGAAATATTTTACAATGTACATGTCAGTCTGGCAGATTTTATTTGACCTTGACCTCCTTTTCACGGTTCATTGCTCAGAGTGAAGTTTTTGTATTTTGATCATTTTTTCTTAAACTATAAACAATAGGTCAACTATATTTGGTGTATGGAATGATTGTAAGGTGTATGTCTTTCTGGCAGGTATCATCTGACCTTAACCTCATTTTCATGGTTCATTGGTCAATGTTAGGTTTTCATGGTTAAGTTTGTTTCTTAGATACTATAAACAATATAGTTCAACTATATTTAATGTATAGATTGATTGTAAGGTGTACATGTCTGTCTGGCATGGTTCATCTGACCTTGACCTCATTTTCATGGTTCATTGGTCAATGTTTAGTTTTCTTGATTAAGTTTGTTTCTTTGAAACTATAAGCAATAGGTCATCTATATTTGGTGTATGGAATGATTGTAAGGTGAACATGTATTTCAGGTTTAGTTTATATGACCTTGACCTCATTTTCTTGGATCATGTTAAGTTTATGTGATACTTGTAGTAAAGCTTTATATTTAGGACTATCAACATAAAATGTATGGTCAGTAAAGAAGGCAAGACATTTCAGAGTGTGCACTCTTGTTATGTAAATAAAGTAGTTATTTGGTCCAGTTAAAAAAGGTAAAAAATTAGTATGTCTGAAGCTTTCAAACTGAATTGTAGACCCCCCTTAACATAGAATTGTCCATATTTTGAGTTTTAGCTGGTAGACTTTTCTATAATTTTGATATTATTTGTCCCAAAAGTAGTACACTACACTTAAAAAATCAGGTGTGATTTTTTTTATTAGTCCCCTACCGACGAAGTCGAAGGGGACTTTAGGTTTGCACTCTGTCCGTCTGTCTGTCTGTCTGTCTGTCAAGGTCAAATGAACCATGCCAGACAGACATGTACACCTTACAATCAAGTTCGAATTTTGTTCCGGTCTGATAAATTTGTGCAGAGTTACAATGTATGGTCCTTGGACTTGGAAAATTCACTCAAATATTCAGTTTCTGCACTTTTTTTCGTCATTCTTGAAGATATTGATTTAATAATTGGTACTTTTTTTTATCATGACAAGTTACAGATCAAGTTAGAATTTTGTTCCGGTCTGATGATTTTGTGCAGAGTTATGGTCCTTGGACTTAGAAAATTCACTTAAATTATCAGTTTTCCGCACTTTTTTTCGTCATGCTTGAAGATATTGACTTGATATTTGTTATATAGTTTACACCATGACAAGTTATAGATCAAGTTAGCATTTTGTTCCAGTACAATTAATTTTTAACCGGTAGGGGACTATGTATTGCCATGCAATTCTCTCAGAATGCTTGTTGAATTTATTGTCTAAAAGAAATGCACTACGAAATAACTGTGTTATCGGCCATAATGTTATCATGGTTATAGGAATATTGTAACCTACTTTGTACTAGACTGACACATCTTAATAAGTTTTAACATGTTAGCTTCTAAGTAACAGTCTGGAGGAAGAAATGTCACTCTACATGCTTGTACCTTGGTTTGGTTAGGTCTTTAGACTTTGATTCAACCAGTTCTGACCATTGCTACCAAACTGTCTATTTATCGAACCCATGGTCAAGCTGATTACACCTTATTGATCCCCTGGCAAGTTGACTAGATTTGAATGGTTGTTGTACTGAACAATTGTTTAGCTCTTTCCTTGAGATATTTGCAGTCTTTAAATCTCACATGTAGCTATTGGAGAATTGACAAAGCAATAATTTTTTTTAAACTTTTTTCAGGACTTGGTAGACAACCCAGAGTTCATAGCTTCAGGAGTCAGTAGATTTGATGTTAAGCAAGGAGAATTAGGTAGGTATATATATATATATATATATATATATATATTGCAAATGAAAGTGAACCAACGCCTGGTGAATATGTAGTACGGTAGAGTCCCTGAAGTGGATATCTCGGGTATGCAGGGTCGTTATGATGAAGCACATAATATGTAAAAAATCTTATAACAACAACACTTTAGGGACTGCTGCAGAAAATGTTTGTTGAATGAATAGTGTTTGCATTTTGTCATCTTACATAATGGAATTAAAAGTATATAATAAGTTATAATCCAGCTGTGTACAAAGACAATAGCTTATTATATATTTTAATTCCATTATGTAAGATGACATACACATATTCTTTCAACAAACATTTAAATTTAATGCCATTCACATTTTTAATCAACTTTCTTGTACAAGTTTACTTCCATACATGTATACTTTCACTTTCTATAAATTTATACTCACCATGGTTACATTGTGACGTAATTTATGCATACCCAATTTTGTACTTTAGGCGCAATTTTATGTATTGTTTTTATCCTGATGACGGTGCCCTAGGCATTGAAACATGTAGATCAATAAATTTTCTGCAGCAGTCCCTAAAGTGTTGTAGTTATAAGACTTTCTACAAATATATATATATATATTGCAATATTTATCCTACTTATATGAAATTCATTTTTTGTACAGCAAAGTCCAAATCAAATTTTATTTTCTGCTTGAAAACAGCATTACAGTTATAACATTGTCATAGTTTAATATCTATGCATGATAAACATGGACTTGAAATGTTGATTCATCTTTATTGTATCAGTTGTGAACATACAAGAAGTGTTTTAATGAAGACTGGTCACATCTGAAGATCAATAGCATAAAAACTCATACAAAACCCTCTTGTAAGAATATGTTGTACAGCTTGCCAAAATAAAATGGAGTTAATTATCTCTCTTATACCCTGATGAGTGTATGATTATAAGTGATTTAGTGTGAAGAGTAATCAAATCAACTTACATACATAAGAACACAGTTTTACAAATAAATACAGTAAAACAGGAGCCATTGCTTCTTTTTTTTTTAAAGATTTAGTCAGCTATTTTTAAGTGCAAGCTCAAAGATATGGGCTCAGAAGAAATAAATGATATTAGAATCACTAAAATTGATAATAATAATTTTTGTTTCAAGAAGGTAAGCTCAATTGTGTATGAACTTTTCTCCCTTGAGAGCCTCACTAGAGTTGACTAAGTTGAGAATTTGATATGAAAGACATGGTTCATACATAGTTTCATTTATGTGTGGGTTGTATCATGAATATAAAGCAAAACTATAATATTTTAATAACAAAAGAATTTTTCTATGTACTTTCTTATACATGTGTATTTAGAAAATATAAACAAACTGTAAACCTGAGAAAAATCTTTAAAAACGAATAAAGACATGTAAAATGAAAATTCTTTTAAAAATATTTAAAAATGTGAACATAAAAAAATACAATTATGAAATAGTCATTGATGCATATACCCACCTTCATGGTTGAGTAGTTGACCTTCAATGTAAATCAACATTTTTATAAGTATTAATACATTTATTAGCCATGTATGTGTAAATTCAGAGCACTCCAGGGGACATGTAATTAGAAAATAAAACATTTTATTACATTACTATTTATATAATCAGATGTCCATTACCAGTCATTCCAAAGGTTGCTGGACATTGGGCAAAGTCCAGTAGAAATTGGTTTGGTCCAATTAAGTGATATGCATTACTGTACCAAATGACCAGTAAAATTTTTAATTTTGTCCAAACTATATGTTAAAATGTCCTGTAAAAAAGAGTGGTCTAGTTGAAAAGGATGGTCTACTGGACAAAATGTCCAGTTGATTTCTCAAAGCCATTGGAACCGCTGCATTACTAGGAGAGTGGAGCCTATTACTATTTATATAATCAGATGTCCATTACTAGGAGAAGAGCGGAACCTATTACTTTTTATACAATCAGATGTCCATTACTAGGAGAAGAGCAGAACCTATTACTATTTATACAATCAGATGTCCATTACTAGGAGAAGAGTGGAACCTATTAATATTTATATAATCAGATGTCCATTACTAGCTATAGGAGAACAGCGGAACCTAGTATTACTACATGTATTTATATAATCAGATGTCCATTACTAGGAGAAGGGTGGAACCTATATAATAACTATTTATATAATCAGATGTCCATTACTAGGAGAACAGCGGAACCTATTACTATTTATATAATCAGATGTCCATTACTAGGAGAACAGCGGAACCTATTACTATTTATATAATCAGATGTCCATTACTAGGAGAAGAGTGGAACATGCTATATAAAGTATAGGTGATCATGTTGTCCTTAAACTTCCGAATGTGCATGTAATGAAATTTAGAAGGGATTCCTGTTATAAGTAACACAAGTTTATGACCAAAATTTTTGCAATGCATGATGGAAAGCAATGATTAATGAACAAAATCCTAGAATTTAATTTGCACAAAGTCAAAAATAATGTTTTGACCATAGAATTAGAAGGTGATGAGCAGTTTCATGTATCATTGGTTGGTTTTAATATTCATATACATGTAGCAGTGTTCTAGCTAGGATTAAAGGGCAGAGGTGCACAGTTTTAAGAGGAAGGGCAGGTGAGGGTGGATTTTTGTCTGAAAAGGGACAACTTGATAATGTTTACAGACAAAAATTTTAAATATTTGAATAGATTAATGTCATTTTGCTGAATTTATAGTATTTTTGGGTGGTATATTTTTTTCCCTGTAGTTACCTGAACTTTTTAAAATATTTTTCTTAATTGAAAAGTGTTCATTTCCTTAAGGGAAATAAAGAAATTGTGAGGGGGGGGGGGGGGGGGGGGACAATTTTTTCTCGTTTCAGATTTCAGAAATTAAAAGGAAAATTTCTTCAAATATTTTTTTTTTTGTTAAAAAAGGTAAAAGGGGGGAGGGGAGCCAATTTGCAACAAAAGCAAAAAATTGAATATAAATTCAAATCATATAACTAATTCTAAGTTCTTTCACTACAGTTATTCTGTGTCAGAAACCTATTATGTGTCAAATATTGAATTGCAATCCAAATTCAGACTTGTATCAAGCGTGAATATTGTGTCCATTTTGCCCCAACTGTTCAGGGTTGGACCTCTGCGGTCGTAGCCAGCTGCGCTCGACAAGGCATTTTATTGTCTCGCCTTGACGGAGTCAAAAAGCGAGACATAGTTATGCGGCGGCGTCAACAATGTATTAGTTTGTGATTAGGTCTAGTTCATGGTGAACCACTAGTGGTAGGTCAATGATATTTGGTATGCAGTTGTATTAGCATTGGCACATCTCATTAACATGGAGATTATTTGGCCCCGCCCCCTCAGTCAAGGTCTATTGACTTTGAAACTTTTCATAGTTTACATGTATTAGTTTGTGATTAGGTCAATTTATGGGGAACCACTAGTGGTAGGTCAATGATATTTGGTATGCAGTTGTATAAGCATTGGCATATCTCATTTCCATGGAGATTATTTGGCTCCGCCCCCTTAGTCATGGTCTATAGACTTTGAAAATTTTGCTAAGTTAACATGTATTAGTTTGTGATAAGGTCAGTTCAAGGGGAACCTTTAGTGGTAGGCCAATGTTAATTGGTGTTCAGTTGTATAAGCATTAGCACATCTCATTTCCATGGAGAATATTTGGCCCCGCCCCCTCAGTCATGGTCTATTTACTTTGAAACTTTTGCTTAGTTTACGTGTATTACTATTAGTTTGTGATTAGATCAGTTTAAGATGAACTGCTTATGTTAAGTCAATGATATTTGGTATGCAGATTTATAGGAATTTGCAAGTATTGTTTCCATGGAGATTATATAGCCCCACCCCTGTTCATGGTTCATTGACTTTGAAACTTTTACATAGTTTACAAGTTAATGTTTGTGTTTAGGTTTGTTTAAAGGGAACGACTTATAATAAGTCAATGGTATTTGGTATGCAGTTGTATAAGCATTGGCACATCTCATTCCATGGAGATTGTTTAGCCATGTACCTTCAGTCATGGTTCATCGACTTTGAATATTTGCATAACTTACATGTTAAAGTATTGCTATCTTCATTTCAACATTTGCATTATCAAAATTACAAAAAGGCGAGACATATCTCTGTGATAACAGTTTATTTTATATTTTGTAAATTTACACACGATCCATTTAGATTTATGGAACCTTTGAATAAACTTATTCATAACCATGATAACTGTTATCTACATTTGTATTTAACACTTTAGTAAAACCTTTGTATATGCCTTTATTACTGTCTCCTCGGAGACAGTCTTATAAGTTGAACGATGGACAGTCTTCGGGCTGAATTCTTTCTTACTACCTGATTGGAAGATATTACTCTTTCATAGTAAAAGTCTGTTGATTGGTTGGGGCATTTTGAGACCTAGTAAATGTCTTTCAGTCCCGCAGAGTGTCAGGTTTGAACTCTTTATTTTAGTTATTATACCCTACGCAACGAAGTTGCGGAGCGTATAATGTTTTTGACCCGTCAGTCCGTCAGTCTGTCAGTCCTGTTTCTTGTCATCGCAACTCCTCTCAAACCACACAACAGAATTTCATGAAACCTTTTTAGATAATAAGGACATACTATGTAGTTGTGCATATCAACAGGAAATTACGATTCATTTTTTTTCTAGGAGTTACGCCCCTTTGAACTTATTTGCTTCAATGTACTACTGCAACAGTTTGTCATCGTAACTCCTCTGAAACCACACCACAGAATTTCATGAAACTGTGTAGATAATAAGGACATACTATGTAGATGTGCATATTGACAGGAAATTATGATTCAATTTTTTTTTCTTACACTTATTTTATTTCTCCAATGACAATGTGGGGACGTGGGGTATGTGAGCGCGCTCACTAAGGTTCTTTAATTTTTAGATATTACTATTAAATTTGCTGATCAAGGTTTTCTTTTTTTAGCCATGACTATGATGTCATTTTCTATTTAATACT